GCGGAGTAGTGACACGGGCTACTTGGCGCGGTGGGAGAGTCCGCGTCCGCGCGAACCATCACTGTGAAAAATCCTGTGCCAAAGTAGAGAAAAAGGGCAACATTCCCGTACAGGGCGTGGTTCAGGAGGATGCACGGACTATATACCAGGTGACCGGGAGAATACGCGGCAGCTCGAAGGGTTGCCTATGCACTGGCTTGCAGGCGCCGAGGGCGAGGAGGCGGCCGGACGCCACCCCAGCCGAAAATTCCGGTTACGGTAACGGCTACGGTTACGGCTACGGTTACGACTACGGTTACGGTTACACTCGTAAATTGGACCCATTTCCGGTTACGGTTACGATTAAAGTTCCGGTTACGATTACGTTTACTGTTTCGGATATGATTACGGTTAGTCAGCCCGGTTACGGTGAGAACGTTCCGGTTACGGTGATGACGTATTAGCAGTAACTCAAAGCCCCTATGAGACCAAAACACATGTCGCCCATGTAAACTTTTGACACCGAGCACAATGGTGGTGTTTTCGTTGCGGTATCTTTAACAGTTCTCAAGATAGCCAGGGGTTGAAAAATCGACTCTTTCCAAACTCCACACATAGGTTTGACTTGTGTTTCCCTTACGTTACCCTTAACCGTTTCTCCCTGCAAAGCTTAATTTAAGCGCTACGACGTTTCAAAGTTTGATATTTTCCGGTTACGATCGTAATCGTTTCACATTACTCGTAACCGTAACTGCTGACCGTAACCGGGCTACGGTTACGGTCGTATTCGTAAGCTTACTCGTAACCGTAAGTGTAAACCGTAATCGAACTCCAGTTACGGTCGTAATCGTAAATTTTGACCGTAACCGTAGCAAATTACGGCCGTAATCGTAAATTCTAGCCGTAACCGTAACCGGAATTTTCGGCTGGGACGGTAGCAAGTACAGGATAACCGTGAAATGGGTTGACCAATAAAGTGGGTTACGGTCAAATTACTGTGCCATTTTTTGGACAGTGATGCGAGGATCGGCGAAGAACTCGGAACTTGGCAAACCAACACTCAAAATGTCAAGGGACCATTTTTATCCATTGCAAGATGAATATGTGATGAGCGCATCTTGCAAGATGCAATTTTGAATCTAGAGAAGTGACAATTTCGTATCTTCCGTTGGACAAATTTTTACTTTGTCCAACTGTAGACACAATATTGTCACCACTCTAGCTTGTCTCTTGACGTTTGGAGTAATACCATCCTCTTGAACTCGACTAAATAAAAAATTCACAAAATCTTCCTTTGGCGACTTTGCAGACCATTCTACTCGGGGACAGCGGCGTGGGCAAGACTTCCCTCCTCGTTCAATTCGACACGGGCAAGTTCAACACGGGGACCTTCTCAGCCACAGTCGGCATCGGCTTCACGGTAAGACATTTGGCCTCTGAAAGGCCCGTTCTACACAGTTTTGGACTGTGAACCATGAAACAACATAATACGAGATGGCTGATTAAACCCACGATCATTTGTAGTTAGTTGCACTAACTGTATCGCATGCAGACGTGCGGATGGGTTGCCTAGTCGCTCGGGGCCTTAAGGCGCCGTGGACAGCGACGAGAGGCAAACCCGCTCGGACGCCTCCATATGCGGTACAGTATAACTACAAAAAAGTACAGAAAAGCACGGGGTTAATCAATCACCTGATGTATTCAAAGTGCCACTGTTGTAATTATTTGTAATTATTTTCAACAGGTAAGAGCGCTGCTATCGCGACCACGCAGAGAAATTTTATGTAAACTATATTTTGCATAGCAAGGCAAAAAACCTGAGCATACATGTCCTTACGTAAAATTTAATCCATGAAAACATGATAGGGCCTACCATCACGATGAAAATGGTAAAATCGGGTAAAATATTACATATTCAAGTAAAATAAAACAAACAGAACTTGATTGTACGTTGTAATTTTACGTGTGATATATGCATGCTCTCGGATTTGCACATGAGCTATGTACAAATAATAGAGTACATAAAGAATCTGCAGTGTGCAGGCTTGCACAGTGTTCCTCCGCATCATCCCTCAGTCAGCGCGGAACTACCACACGGTGCGGGCCGCGCCGACAGCAGCACACATGACCCGCTCGCTGGAGGCGCACTAGAGAGGGAGTTAATTGAAAACTGAAAGAGCCGGAAAAGAGCAGACACTCGGACCGCGTGCGATTCCTTTTCTCTCTTTTTTTCTCCTGGTGTCATTCGATGCACACAGTATATACGCGGCGCGGGGTCTGCTGTCAGTGTGCGCAGCTGGCATGTGGCGGCGGCGCCCAGTCGGCACCCCGAGTGCGAAAACAGAGTCGTCGTTGTCGTCGTCTCGAGGACGAAAAACGAAGAAGAGAAAAAAATAAAATGAAATAAAATAATCCGCCGCGAGGGCGCGAGCGGGAAGTTTTTAATTAATCTGATGCCTCGTTACGAAGGCGCGGTGCGTCTGTGCCGCACAATGACGGCCTCGTTGAGCCCGGCGGGGCCCGCCCTCGCGCGCGCCCGCCCGAGGAGCGTGACGGATTCAGCCGGATCATCCCCTATTCCACCCCCACCCCTTGCTTCCGGTGCCGCGCCGCACCGCGCCTCGAGAAAAGAGAAAAAGTCCATAGCCTACATAACCCTCTGAGATTCATCACGCGTCAAATTAATTCACCAAAGTCCGACCTCCTTCCCGATCCAATAATTACCATTCCATGGCATTCAGTCGCATCTAGTAGTGTTTAGAGTGATTAAAATCACCACGCTGGTATATCTTTGTTATTGACATGCCCGAGCAACACGCATAATTATGCTGTGATCGAGTAAAAAAAAGTTTTCATTATTACTGGCGAGGAGATAATAACTTACTCGTAGGCTACGCCGACCCGCGAGTCATGTGTGATAGAGGGTAGCGTAAAAAAAAAAAGGATTTGAGATATTGAAATGGCGGGTATGCGGAAAAGTTGTCTTTTTAGATGTAGAATCCAGTGCAATTTTTTATTTTGAGATCGGACAATATTTTCCGATCGCGCAACGAGCTAAGTTATGCATCAGCTCTTATGGGGAAAATCGTCAAAAACCATGTAAAAATGAAAATTAAAAATTTAGGCTTTCTACGTGATGTTTTTTGAAAATCTGTTTTCAGAAATGCAATCTACTCCAAAAAAGGCATCCGGTGATGTATCACACTCACACTGAACCGCTCACTATTATATCAAGTGTGACACATCAGTGGATGCCTTTTATAGCGTAGATTGCATTTCTGAAAACAGATTTTCAAAAAACATTACATACAAAGCCCAAATTTTCGATTTTCATTTTTTCATGGTTTTGGACGATTTTCCAAAATTTGTCAAGCCATACAAACATTTATTGTTGAAAATCAGTCGTAATTTTACGACGAAATGTTATTGCAGACAGCAATCTAAGGTGTGTGGGTGGTTGGGGAACGGGTGGGGGGGTGTCCTTCGCCTCTCATCGACGGTGCATCGGTTTGAATAACATGTCGGTAAAATCACTGATCTATCCCGCTTTCCCCGAGTCCTTGACGCCCTTCCTCGCGTATATTTGCGGCGGGGTTTCCTTCTCTCTCTCTCTCTCTCTCTCTCTCTCTCTCTCTCTATCTATCTATCTATCTCTCTCTCTCTCGCTCTTTCTCGCTCTCTGCCACCCCACGCGCCGTGCGCTCCGGGCCCAGCCTCCCCCTCCCGGTGCGCGAGGCTCCGCTCCGCTCGGCGGCGCCCTCGCTC